GGAGTGCAGTGGCCGCTTCCGGCCACTGCAGCCTCGACCTGCTGGGCTCCGGCGATCCTTAAGCCTTAGCCTTCCAAGTAGCTGGAACTACAAGCGCGTGCTACCACGACCAGCTAATTTTTTAAAATTTTATTGTAGAGGTCTCACCAAGTTGCCCAGGCAGGTCTGAACCCGCGGACTCAGGCAATCCACTCACCTCCGCCTCCCAAAGCGCGGGATTACAGGCTGAGCCACCGAGCCCGGCTTCCCAGGGGTTTTTAAAGTGTCACGAGATAGGCACCGTGCCCTCAAGTTTCTCCCTTGTACCCTCAGCACATACTCTCATTTGGCTCAACTTCTCCAATCCTTTGCCTCCTCTCCAGCCTAATCACTGCTCTGGTTCAGGACACATCAGCCTCCTCTGAGCAACCCCAGTGGCCTCCTGACAGGTCTTCCCACCTCCAGTCTTGTTCTATCTTAACCATTCTCCCAGCCAACACCTGCCTTTCTGAAATAGTTTTATTTGCATTCTTCCCCTGTCTAGATTCCTCTATGGCTTCCTACTGCTCAAATGAGGCACATTGTGGTCCTCCTTCTGACTTTCCCCCATCTCATCTCTGGCCCCTCTCTAGAGTATTTTCGGTTCTATGAAGGCATCTCTCTTCTGCATCTTTGCACTCACTGCTTCTTTGGCTCAGAGCATCCTTCTTTGGCCTGTCTTTCCTGACCAACTCCTTCGGGACTCTTATTTGGGGCTACCTGCTTGCCTATTCCTCCCCTTTTGTTCCTCTTACATATACACTCCCATTATAGCATTAATGCATCTAGATCTAGCCAGCTGCTAAAAGCCCCCCCCATGTGTGTTTCCCAAGGGCAGCGACCGCATCTAGTCGGCACTGCTTTCACCCAGCACAGGACCTGGCATTGGCTGAATGAATGAATTCATGAATGAGGGCCAGGGGGTCTCCAAGGAGTGCAAAGAACCCCCAGGGGCATCTGGGGAAGTGGCCAGAAGACAAGTGGATACTCATTAGTAATGGAACAGCCCTGGGCGGCTCCTCAGGGACCCTGGGTATGAGAGCAGAGAGCAGATTCTCAGACACATAACCAGGACGCTCCTTCTAGCATCGTGTGTTACCTGATTCCCTAGGACCCCCAACTTGACCAATGAAGCCCTGGAAAGTGGGCCTGCAGGGTCTTCAGGAGGAGGCTCTGTGGCTGGGGGGGCAGGAGGTACATGAGGGAGGGGGCACGTGTGTGCTGGGAGTGGGGCGTAGTATGTGAGTGGGAAAGACAATCCTCAGATCAGTCCTCCAGGGGCCCTGGACCCAGGGGAGGGCAGAAGTGTCTCTCTCTGTGTGTGTATAGGTAGGTGGTCTCTCCCCTCTGGGTGGTGGGTGTGGGTCTGTGGGCCTTGCGTGTACATTGTCTGCTCTTGTTTCTCAAGACAGCTCAAAGGACATCTCCTCCAGGAAGCCCTCCCCCAACACCCTGGCTAAATAAACGGCCTCTCTTCCACTTTCAGAGCGTTTACAGCCGGATGTGAGTACTTCTGACACCTGTGATGGTGCTGATTCCCACATGACCCTCTCCTCAGGGACTCTGGGTTCTGTCTTCTTATGGAAACTAACAACTCTGAGATGCTCTGAGCACTGGGTTACTGGCTGAACAGAGGTGTCTAGGCCTATCTGGCCCTCCATGCTGTTCCCCTGCGGTCACACCTGTCCTTAAGAGCCGGTAAGTACCATACATTGCACAGTGCTTCTCCACTCATTTAGTTTCCCTCATAATGCCATGAGCACCCCCATCACATCCCTCATGTACCCCTGCAAGGATGCCAAGCCGCGCCTGGGGCCGTGACTTTCCAAGGGTCCTTCTGAGTACCACACCTGAGTTCACCCTGTGTGTATGGAGGGTATGAGTCCGAGCCGTGAATGCACTTCAGAATCACTTGAAAAAATGCCAATACCTGGCGCTGGGTATCTGGGGCAGGTATAGTAAATCAGAACCTTCGGAGGCTGGGGCCAGACATGAATTTTTAAAAATACTCATATACAATCTGTGCATCCTTCCATAGGAACCACTGACTTGTGCGTGGTGAGGTACGCCAGGGCCAGAGTACCCTCCTACTGACGGAAGAAACACACCCCTCCTTCCCTCCCCGGACAGCAGATTCCCTCCTTGCAATACGTCTGCCGCCCACAGGGGTCGCTGAGGGACGGCTGGCCCTGTTCGCGACTTTCCTCCGCACCCAGGGAAAGCCGGAGCCACCGAGGTATAAATTAGCGTCTTTATTTCCAACACCTGAGCGAGCGCCCGCGGCTCGCCGCCTGCCATAGAAACGTACAAAGTCCCTGTTACACCACACACCATGCCTCACAGATAAATATAGCCCCAGGGGCTCCTGCTCTGGCAAAGCAACTCTTATTTACAGAAATAGATTACAAAAGTATTACAAAAAGTGGTCCTGAACCGGGGGGGGGGGGGGGGGGGGCGGGAGCGTGGATGGATGGGAGTGGGGTATGGTTACACCTGCTACACGTGGGGCTGGAGTGCACCCCCGGCGCACCCCCCAAAGTAACCGGTGCGTCCAGGGGCGGGGCTTCGGTCTGCGAGGGTCTCACCCCCCGCCCCATGAGGGAGGGAGCAAGAAAGAGGAAGGACCTAGCCCCTCAAGGATCAGATGTGGCCCACCGAGGACCACAGAGCGGCCATCGCAGCCAGTGTCCGGGAAGGGTGGGGCGTGGGAAAAACGGACTGTGTCCTTGCACCGGGGGCGGG